TCTCTTCTCTCTCTCTCTCTCCGTCTCTCTTCTCTCTCTCTCTCTCCGTCTCTCTTCTCTCCTCTCGCTCATGTTTGTAGTAACACTAGTATATTTGGAAAGCAATATTCAATGTAGGTTACCAAAAGACCCTTAATTTTATTCATATTTCAACTATATAAAACATTGTTCCATTCATATTTTATAAATCACATCTCATGAGAAAAGACCACCATAATAGGCCTCCTTCTTTCCCTTCCTTTCCCCTTCTTGCTTTCCCTCTTCCTTGCTTTCACCTTCTACCCCTCATGGGCACAGGCACATTCACAAGCTTTTATTCACACTAATATTTTCAGAACCTGATTTTCAGTATAGGTTACCAAAAGACTCTGTCTTAGTTCTATTTATTATCATTTCTTGAGTTTCTACTGTGTACATCTTTCAACTACATAAAGAGATTTAGTTTTTTCATTAACATTTACTACAACATTTCCCTAGAGAAAAGAGCAATTAACATCTTAAATGAGAAAATAATGGCCTTATATATACTGTGTGATTTGTTCTGAAATATATATATATAATGAACATAAGAGAGAAGTAATGTTGCCTACTTCCTTTAAAATATTTAGTGCATTATATTTTACAACTATCAATATTATCAATGTTTAAAAATAATTGCATTTAAATGTGATATTTTTAAACAAAAAAGCTTAGATATATAAAGAAGTAATACTTTCTGATTGGACAATGTTAAACTTTTTAACTGCAATTCTTTAAAATTACAAAATAAAAATTTTAATATACAAAAATATATATATATATATATATATATATATATATATATATTATAATATATATTTATATATATAATATATATATATATATATATATATATAGGGAGCTTATATTTAAAAATGCACTAAAACAACCAAATACTTTTACAGTAACTTTTCCACCTTTTTTAAAGTTTTTGTTTGATTATCCAACAGAATATTTACCAAGGAATACTAGAAATAGCATACAAACTATTATCTCATCAACTCTCAGACAGGAACCATAACATTATAGTTTTGTTTTTCACGGCAGCTTTACATATATATCTCCCCCAATCCCTTGCCCGTTGTTGCTGTGAGGGAGTTAGGATTAGGGGATCTCCCCTACCCTGGATCTCAGCCCTCGACTCAACTGATTTTGCGTGGTCTTTTCTCCCATCTACTCTTTCGTTTCTGTCCCTTCTCCAACCCCTTCTACTATCCACTTCCTAAAGTGTAAGAGTTGTGCTGAAAGGATGAAAGGCTGACTTTGTGCTAGTCCTGAATGACCTGAGGGAACCATGGGCATGGTATTCCCCTGTTTTAGTTGTCTAGCCCTTACCCCTCAAGCCCTCAAAGGGACCCTAATGAAGTAATGAAGACGTAATACCCTTATTAGGGATAATGAGGCTTGCCCCTTCATCAAACAGCTCCACCAAACTCTCCTGGCTCCCTGACCCCAGGCTCTCCTTTGACCACAACTCTGAATACTGCAACTACTGCCCACCCCACACTGTCTACTAGTACATTTTCCACCCAAGTCGAGACTCGATCTCCAGGAGACATTCCTACTCTCCCAACTTCCTTAACTTCATCACCTCTACCCACACAACCTTCTTCTGAAGCTATAGCTTTATCAAATCTAACTGATCTCTCTGGCAATCCCATTCCTGCAGAACCTCATCCAACCCTTAATACTTGTACCGGAACTGTCTCTATCTCCCCCAGCAAACTGCCCTATCAATAACAAAGATTGGTCAGATTGTGGAGAAGACTTACTCGCCTGTCTCAAGGACCGTGATGTGATATCAGTACAGTGCTACTCCATTCCTCCTAGAGGACATCTAAAGAAACCCATCAACATTGTTAAAATTACTTTCCGTAGACATGACCTTCCCTTCCATATCTACATTGGACAATCCCTCCCTGTTCAACCATACCAACCTCCTCCATGTCATAACTGTTGGCATTTTGGATATCCTACTAAATACTGCCATTCCACAGCCCGATGCCCCCTATATGCCCAATCTGGTCATAACCCATCAAACTGCTCTGCACAATCACGCACGTGCTATCTGCGTTCTTACACTCTCCCTTATACCAACTTACTTCCCCACTTCAACTTCAAATTCTTTTGCCACTCTAAATCCAGACACTCCAATCTCAACTACAGCCCCAACACCTTCCCCTCTCCCTCCCTGCACTACCTGCAGCCTTTGCCTTTACTCCTCAGACACCAGTCTCCTCTTCCCTCCTCACAGAAAACCTTTGTCTCACAAAACTCTCCAACCTCAACTTCATCACCTCTACCCACACAACCTTCTTCTGAAGCTATAGCTTTATCAAATCTAACTGATCTCTCTGGTAACCCCATTCCTGCAGAAACTCTTGAAAATATTCAAAACTATCTGCTCGAATCCTAAAATTACACTGAAACCCCTCACCCACCATCAAATTCCACAATTCCCGCTCCCTCCACACACAAAGTGACTACACCCCTTCCTCCTACTCCCTCCCAACACATCCCCCTCAGATATACATCCTCTTCCTACTCATATTCCCTCTACACTCCTTCCTCCTACTCCCTCCCAACACAACCATCCCCCTCTGCTCTAATTACACCTACATTAACCCTCCCTCCATCCCCCCTATCCCTCCCACTACCTCCTGGACACATACGTGAATCCCTTATGTCACAACTATGCCCTTCCCCAGATCCTTCACCTCCTGATACCCCTCATGATACTACACTAACCCCCCCTCTAATTCCTTATCTCACCCCCCTAGCTCTTTCCCCTTCAAATTCTCCAAAATGCACTGTAACCATTATCACTCATAGATCAACTAAGTAATAGCTCCCCTACACTGGAATATTCATAGTTTCCATTCTCACAGACCTGACCTTCGTCATATCCTTTCTTTTTATAATCCATCCATTATCTACTTTCTGCTTTGACAACCTGTGCTCCTTCCTTAGACACTTACATATTTTTCACTTGATCTAATTCCCTTTCCTAAACCAACATAATGCATTCACTCATCAACTCCTTTACACACCTTTAACCTTTCAATATTACTCTAGATAGTTGACATATAACAACTATCACACATCACCACTCTTTCCTATACTTTCCTATAGTGCTATATGACCCTAGATGTCTAGCACATTTATTTGGCTTTTAACCATGAACCATTAACCATTTACATATATATGCAGGAAATAAGTTCCCAGAAGTCAATTACTGGGTACTCCAATACTGATTGGCATTACACAAGTTAGGTTGAGGTTATTTGTTACATGAAAGCATATAGAGAGCATGAAAGACCTATGCCAATCTCTTATGCTTACTCAGATTTCTAAATTACCCTAATAACTCACTCACTTGCAAAATAACAAGGAATCTGGATACAAGTGATGTTGTTGGTGCATTAATGTAGAGACAGACATTTCTGGAATGTAGCATAAATGCATGTCAGGAAAAATTAGATATCTTACCTGTGGGCAAAAAACAAGATGTCTGTATCTGGACCGATGGTTATCTGGTGTGAGGAATAAGGGGATTATCCCAGTGCCAATTAAGGATATACATCACTAGCAGCTTAAATATTATCCATTAATAACTACATAATATTAATGCTTGATGTCTGAAATAAATAAATGTGCAAGATATCAAAGGTCATATAGCACTATGGTAAAGTATTGTCAGAAAGAGTAAAGAGGAGTTAAAGATTAGGATAAAATGTCAAAGATTAGAGAGTGTTATAGGATAGTATGGTAGTGAAAAGGGGAAAGAGGGGAGTAAGTGATCTAAAACAAAGATTAGCAGAAAGGGGAGGGTTAAGGGGGTAGGGCTATTGAGTGAATTACAGTGTATCTGTCACTGGCGAAGGAACAGGAACAATGTTCAAGGAAAACAGAGATGGCTGTTGGAAAAGTGGAATAATCCAGAGAGAGAGATGTCAATGATTAGTGTGTGTTATAGGAAAGTATGGTAGCGAAAAAGAAAAGAGGGAAGTAAATGAGGTAGTGTAGGGCATTAGTAAAATGGGAAAGGTTAAGGGGGTAGAGCAATTGAGTGAATTGCATTGTATCTATGACTGGGGAAGGAATAGGGATATTGTTACAGGAAAACAAGAGGTGGCTGTTGGAGAAGTAGGAGAATAATCCAGGGGATGAGAAAAGGGGGACTTGGGAAGGTGGTGAAGTATCAGGAAGAATGTCTGGAGGAGAGGGAACTGCAGAAGCATGCTGTTGTGACAGGAAAAGCGTGTGAGTATTTAGGTGTGAGTGGTAGAGAGGGTGGGGTATGTTGGGAGGATGGAGGAAGGGGGCTGGAGGGAAGTTGAGGAGGAGGAGGATGGATATCTGCAAATAATAAATGTATAAGGAGTAGGAACAGAGGGATTGGGGGTTGGATGAGGGAGTGGAGTGTTCCATTGGGTCATCTTTAGGAAGTTTGGGATGTCTTCAAAGGTTTCTGGAGGGGAATTGGGCGAAGAGGACTGAGAAACAAAAGTTCTCTTGTGAAATGGAGATGAGTTAGATATCTGAGGAGCATAACAAGAGGGTGTTGTAGAGGATGTAGAAGGAGAGGGTGGAGTGGAACGTTTAGGTTGCCTGGTGCGACAAAAAAGTAAGGAGCTACAGGTATTGGTGAAATGGTAGAGATTGGAGAATTGGAGAGACTGGAAAATGAATTTGACTGGGGAATAGGGTGAGTAGAGGTGTATATATAATATTAAGCAAATGTTTTCTTAAAATATGCCCATCCATGAGGAGTTAATCTTAAAGCAATACAAAAAATTGTACAAGGTGGACTGGTAATACATAATAAATTAACTAAGGCTGTCCTTATATTCAGCTAGTATTAATTTCTGAATTATTGATTTTTTTTTTTATTTGTGGGGGATTTTAAAAGCAAGCAACCAATTTTTTTCACATTAACTTAAATGTATTTGAGAACATCATCATTCTCCAGACATGCAATTGGTCATAAAGTAAAGATCTCAACATGCCTCCCTAGCTCACTTCTATGTTACATCTGCTCCATTAGGAATGTTTAATGAGTCTGTGTAGGGTCTGGCCAGTTTCTGCAGTCTTTCACACACCACATGGAAGTATTTGAAGCTTCTCAAACATTCCTTGCCATAAGAGGGCCTCTGGATAGCTTTGTAATCCTGCCTCAGGACACTTCTCCATGCTACATTACTTTTGTTCCCACATATTCTTCTTCACAAAGGCCTTGCATTAATATCAGCTACATTTTTAACTGACAGCAGGATTTCAAATTCCATTTTTGGAAGTTAACAGTACCTGTCTTTTGTATGACTATCTGTTACTTTACTTATTATTTAACAGGATTTTTTTTTTTTGCTGCTGTTTATTGTTAGTTTAATCAATTTACGATGGGTGACACCCATATGAGACACCCGAAAAAAAAAAAAAAAAAATTGCCGGGCATCCCGCCGGTGTGACATTGTATTGAGGCTCACACTCCGACTCAGCAGCGGGCCACGGCCGGCAGAGAGGCAGAGTTCAGGCCAGCCCCAAGCGCCAATTTTGTACCCACCTGTAAACTTTTATTTTTGGCTTCAAAATATACCGGTATTACTGGGTTAACTGCTGTTTGATGACGGGTCTTTTCAGTTTCTCATAGCATCAATTTCAAACAGCTGAACATTTGAAAATCTACCATAATTTAACACAAAACAAAAAATTACCTTTACTCAAACAAGCAAACAAAAAATGCATAAAAATTTAAATACCACTTACTATAAATGATTAACAATTAGATCAATACAAATCCTTTCTGTGGTGTCTTGTGTTCATGTGCAATAATCAATGAAAATGGATTATTCAAACAGTAAATCTACTTTTATATCACAGCATTAATCACAGCAACATATATAGGATGCATTAATAAAAAAAAATATTACTAAACTAATACAGGTGTCTGTCAACATATTGTGAACTAATCATACAACAACTTATTGTAAGCATTTGAACTTTATATATTATATATCATAGAGTACTCTAAAATAGAGGTGTAATGTCACTCTTTGGTTGTAGACATAACAGAAACAGTGTTTTCAACTTTCACATACTTTCTACATGTGCACAAAGCAAGCTTAAAGTTTTAAGTGTGATTCAGTAGTAATTTTGCATATCCTATTTCCATACTCAAAGTACACCTACAACTGATCTGACACTATCTTAAGCATCTTTCAAGTTCTTTTTCCCAATAGTCTTCATAAGCAAGGGCAGATTGCCTTTTACTATTACATACCATGTGCAGTACTAGTTATTTGCTCAAATATTAATATACTATCTATAAAAGAAGACTTGCACTGAGATTTTTTTCTAGGAGGTGTAACTTCTGAGGTCTATATGTCAACCTTTTTTAATCACTGTATAAAACATTCAACCAATACTATAATTAAAAGCTCAATATAGACTTTATGCTCAGTAACAAATTCTTCCTAGATTCAAGATTTACAGGACAAATACTGGATTCAATATGTACATACCTGTAAACATCTACAACTGCTTTATGACAAAATTAATTAAACCTATACTATTTGCAGTATATATAACCTCACACATCCTAAATTAATGAACTTATTTGGACAATGTAAATATTAATCTTTACATTAGCTACAACAATTACCTGAGCTGCTACATAAATTCTCTTGCTCATCCTAGATCACTTTTCACTGGTCCTAGAAACACATGTAGCTCACTTATTGCAACCCTAACAACTGAGTTTCCCACTAAATGACTTCATATTTATGTGATAAGAAAACTTGTTACTCCTTTGAGCTGAGTTGCTAATTAGCAAATTTTTAAACATGAATGGTTTTCACACACCAGTTATTGCTTAAAAGTTTTTGGGACATTAGATGTATACAACACAGGAATATATTTGAAACATTTCACATCCCAGATAGTTAATGTGTCAGTGGTTACTTCACCTATAAAAAGATGCTGAAACAGCAAAAACATTAAATAAATCCTGCCATTTTCTTAGTCGTAACTCAAAGTGAATCAATACCTCAAAAGTTTCAAGGACACAGAAGCCCTTTATGACTCAGCTGTGAACGTGGTGGTGCAAATAGCACAATATCCACAATTCACATTACAGTCTTCCTACCATTCAAAGGTAGGTAGATATTTGAGCTGACTTTGTTAAATGTGTCCAGCAGCTGCATTAATTTGGGATGTATGAAAATTGTTGCTTTGTGTCACTGTCTTATTTTTTATCAACTAGTAGGTCATGTTACAAGTTGCTGTATGAAAAAATAACCAACCTGAAAGTACTGGACACATGAACTGCAGCGTGAGTGAGTGAGTGAATGAATGAATGAATGAATGACTAGTTGGGTGAGTGACAGCGTCTGTGTGTGTGAATGTGAATTTGTTTGTCTGTGTATGTTTGTTATATCTTCCTGTTTTGTCTCTGTCATGTCTGCATGTCATAACTGCCAATTGTCTGTATGTTGTGTCTACATTTCATAAATGTTTCATGTCTGCATGTTATGTCTAAGTGTGTATGTCTATGTCTGAATGTCTGTGTGTGCATATGTCTGTGTATGTCCTTTCCAAATATAGGTGACAAGGAAAAAAGAGATATAGCATAATTACTTTGAACAAAACCTGTATGGCACCAGCAGTAACTGCATTCTTAACTTTCCCAAACACATTCTATTATCTTTAACATAATTCATAACTATAGTTTCTTGACACAAGAAACCATTAAAAGACTTCACAGTCACATAAAAGCATTTACAGACTAGGTAAAAACCTCTCTACCATTTAATAAAAAGTAGAGAGAGAGAATCCAAGGTAAGAACCAAAAGTTTACTGTTCCTTCAGCCGTGATGTATTAGATTAGATGATATAATGGCGATGAACCTGTCCCTCATTTTAAGCTTGAACCATTCATACCACTGGAACACACGTAATCTACGAAGAGCCTTGTACTGCTTGCTGAATCTGTAAATGAAGCATTCCTCTGTAGACTGAATGTAACAAAAAGAATTGTCCAAGACTGAGAAGGGAAGAGGAAGAGGATTGGCAACAAAAAGAAAACAAGTGAGAGATAAGAGTATTTGAATCATATTATGAAATACTATGTTAAAATTTAAATAACAGCTGCTACCCTTTTGATCAAAGCTAAGAGACTGGTTTTCAGGGGAGCAGACTAACCTGCGTTCTTTAGCGAGAATTTTGGGTAACTGTTCCCATGACTTGACAAAGATTGCTGGAGGACCATGTTTCTTAAGCAACCTCCATGGGGATGTGTCACAATGGCCTGGGGTTGCTACATCTTCTATTACAGGTGTACTTCCAGCTGACATTGCTTCATATACTCTATGGAAAGTTTGAAAATATTTATCATTAATTTTTCAGTCACATAGCAAATAAGAAAAGGTATGTTTGTCTGAAAATTATGAACTCATCCTAAATATACACTAACTTTACTGCATCTTATGCATATTTGCTGTGCTGTATTTCATTATCACACATCAAACATGTACCTATAGGTTTCTGTGTTCATCCCAGCCGGAGAAAGTGTGAGATCCGACTGCAGCAGAGACCAAACATACTCATTCATTGATTCAGGTGTTTCATTTGGCAACCATCTGAAAAATCAGAAATCATATAAAGAGACCTTCTTTTACACCATACAAATTCATTATCTTATGCCACTAGATTCCTTTAACCCTCAAAGACTACAGCTGCTCAGCCCACCTTGCCCCTCCCCCTGCCCTCATCCCCAAATAACCCTAAAATTCACCAGAGGTTAATTTGATCTTTCATGTTTAAAGAGCTAGAAAACCCAAAAATATGCATCTTATACTAGTATGTCAAACAAGTATTGAAAAAAACAGACAATCTGAAATCTGTCCTGCCTATAAAAGAAATATGAAAACTTCAAGACATTTTGACAAGCCTTATCCTGTATAACATGTCACTTACTTAACACATACAAAAAAAAAAAAAACTTTGGAGACCATGAACTATCCACCAAATTTTATATCACAGGTACCTAAATAAACTCATAAAATCTAGAAATTTTTAACCCACTGCCCACAGGTTTGTGTACTGTCCACTGCAGTTTTTATGTGAGTTTTGTAACCATTTCCCCACACCTTGAAATTACTGGATTTTTTTTTCTAATGCTATTAATAACAATACAGCTACTATTACTATTCACATTTTGATTATCATAATACTAATTTTTGGCTGAAGACCAGGGTGACAGACAAGACTTGCCACAAGTGCAAAAACCTCTTGTAGGGTGATTAATTCATTTGCTGTTTAGAAAGGGGCTTGTGCATTATTTCCATCGATAAACAAGTGTGGAATATAGTGTCCCTGAGCCATGACTGGAAGAGTGCTGGCTCCTGGGAGGATGCTACTTACATACTCAGGATCCTATTCCTGGCCACCATGACCACTAGTGTAGGTTGTATTACAGAAAATAGATTTTTACCAAAAAAATAAATAAATAAATAAAAAATAAATTAAAAAATGTTACTTATTATTATTTTTGTACTGGGTTATGCACAGATTATATGAGACTGTGCAAGGAAAATAGTCAATTCCCATCTGGATAAAATAAATCAAATGACAAATATGGATAGTGGAAAATAGCATGCAAGTGTTCGGATCAGAATTTCCTCAACAGCATAACAGAAACATGAGAAAACACATTGTTATTAGACCAGCGACTGATTCTAATACACAAATATGCAGATATGCTGGTATCAAGACAAGCAATTTAAAGACTAAAAGGCCTTCTGCCACACTTGCAGCTGGAGAGGTAAAACAGAGGAAACATGGTTCTGGAACACCAAGGAAGACATTGCCAAGGACAGACATGCTGCTCAACCCTAAGGTGATGTCTGAACCTCCTTTAACAGCATCAAGAATAAGCATCCACAACTCCTCAAGGAAATGTCAATATGGAATATCTAGCATCACCTTCAGAAAGATTTTGGTTTACCAACTCAGCACGTAGTTATGGAGCCACTACTCACTAAATCAGGTTTGGAAATAAGGTCTGACGAGGTCTACACTTTCTTCTAAAGAATGTTACAGTGAGGCTAAGTGATTGCATTAACTTATTAAGGAAATCTTTACCAGTACTTTGGGGGAATTCTGAATATGATTATTTCATGCATAATAATGCCCCTTGCCAACAATCAGAGACAGTCTAAAGGTTTCTAAATGACAGTGGAATCAAAGTTTTAGAATGGCCAGGTAACTCCCCTTATTCTAACCCCATTAAAAAAACATAGAATGCAATGAAGAACAAAGTGCAAGATGCCAGAACTAGAAACCTCAAAGTCTGCTGGAGACACTGAAGAAGCTAGTGGCTCATATGTATGTCTCCTATTTTGTCAATTATACAGAATTCATGCCAAAATGGCTGCAGATGCTATTGCAGCTGAAAGGGAGCATGATCAAGTAATAATTGTAATAAAAAAAACTATATCATTAGTTAAGGAAACAAACTGTTCACATTTTATTCTTCTCCAAATGTCAATGTAAACTTTTGCTGGCACTGTATAATGAAAGAGACTTTATTCTCCATATTTCTTCTTTCTTAAAAAAAACTAAAATATTTTAAAACAGATGTTCAGCTTCCTAAAATATGTAATACTGTAACTACACAAATAAAAAAATATAGACTGATCACCAAATGCACAGCATCATTGCCAACCTACTTTTCTCTGACTGATATGAAACAGTTGTTGGAAGCATAGCCATCATTTTTCAGGAACTTATGAAGGGCTATTCTAGAGGAGTTTGGATGAAGTGTTACCCTCAGGTTACACACATACTTTCTAGGAGCCTCTGGAGATACCTGCTCTTCTTCTATGACAGGAAACTGTCTGTATCTGAAAAGCATGATTGTAAATTCATAAAAATCACTTCATCCACAAAAAGTTTGGCGGCTAGTTTAAAATCATAACTTTATGATATAAAATGTATGCCCTTTTAACAGTAAAAGTAAAGGATTAGTTTCACTTCCCTACCTGAATCTATTACAATCTTATTTCATATCTCTACCAAAAACAATTTAGTTGAACTGAAATCTCTATAATGCAAAAGCAATTATTTCTGTCAGCTATCCTCATATTCATTAGACAGTAAGTTCATCAAATGATAATGCTTACGTTGCAACACCAAGAGGCCACTGGTAAAAAATCTTCTGATCTACTCTTGGGTCATCATAGGTCAGCAGAACAGTTACAACCGGACCCTTTGGTGACACATAATTGAGCACCCATTCATTATCACACTTCTGTTCAGAGAGGAATAAAAAAAAAAAACTCTTAAAATCAAATAAGTTGCAAAAAAGGAATAAAAAAAATAACCTCTTAAAATCAAATAAGTTGCGATGATTACAAAGTCAATAGGAATTATCATTTTCAATAGGGATGCTATTCTCTAAAGGTATGTAACTTATTTGTTTGTTTGTTGTTTATAAAATTAGATATTTTCGTCTGAAAAAATTAATAAATGCATTTTACCATAGAGAAAACTAATCTAAACCAGATAAAAACTTTTTTTTTCTTTTTTTTCACTTTAGTTTTGAAGAATGGGAGAACTGTGGATGGCAATATCAATACAAAGTCATCCTAGTTATAAAATCCTAGCATGAATACAACATTGATGTTCAATTTTGAGAATTTTAAAAGCATATGAATTTCGTACATGGGATGCGAGAATTACCGAAGTAGTTGAATTTTTCGCATGCTCCACATAAGTGGGGTGGGAGGGGCAATGGTCACTGGGTGTTAATAATTTTCGAGGAGGAACATATGTATGTAAACATATGCACATAAAGTTTAAAAATTTAATCATCATCATTTAGTAGGCCTACATCGACTTCTGTATGTAAAGGAATAACCCTATCAAGCTGTTTTCTTTGATAACTGTCAATATTAACCCACTAGCGACAGTACATTTATAAGCCGAAAATAATATTTTCCAGGTGGCTTCAAAATCGCTGCGTGTGCAAGTCCAGCAACCTGTCTGCGCACCGTGCGCCACAGGCGACAAAATTAGAGCATAAGCTTTGATCTGGCATCACACAGGCAGGAAGCCTGGCAATGTTTACTTTTCCGGGTGTCTCATATGTGGGACACCCGTTGTAAATAAGTTAACCGCTTGCAAAGAGAAACGAGTGCATAATTCGTATTTAGTCATTTGCACCCATTATCTTTACTATGAAGTGCATAAAATCACGCAGATGCCAAGGTGTGGTTTCATATTTGCGTATTTATGGTACCTAAGACCTACAGTAACGTCTAAACGTAATATTTTTTACTGGAAACCCGCAAAACAGATGAGATAGCTTTTACAATTCTAGACACAGACTGTGCACACAAACGAGCTCAAAATTCCATATAGTTTTTATCTAAGAGCAGGTATTACTGTGTACTATCATTTTCAATATGAAATAATCAGTATCTCGCTCATATATCCAAAGTTTAAAAATCCAACTTTTAGGTACCCTTCCTTTTGAATTGCCCTTTACAGCCGTAATGACCAACTTCAAATCAAATGAAATTTACCAATGCTATGATGTACCGACCGTTGAAGTCTAACGGAAATATTTCAATGCTTACTTATACGGCTATTTTTAAACATTAGTGCTTCGTACTCGGTAAACGGATAGATCACTACAACATATTACTATGGTCTCAATGGAAACATATTTCATGTGTAAAAGGACACAAAACTTGTTTTTTTTTTATATATATTTCACAAGATAATTTGTCATAAATCACTGTGACATTTTCCTGATATAGGTATAAAAATGTTCTTTGAACATTCATGAACTCATATCTATGTGCAATGTCATAATCAAATATCATATGCACGAGTGCAACAAGCATAGGTGTACCTGGGTGCTCATTAGCGGCATACCTGCCAAGGTGTTTAGCAGGTCTCGCGTTCGCAGTCCGGGAACTAGCCATGGATGGGCTTTCATACTCATTTGGTAGTTTCCTCATTCATGTACCTATACTAAATGCTAGCTAACTCAATTTGACCCAAAATTTTTTACTCGCTTGGGACAGTTCCCTTAATGACCAGTCATACTTTCCTATATACTTATTCTGCAGTTGTACTCTTTCTTTTCCCTCTTTTCTTACCCTTTTCTTACTCTCTATCTCTTTCTCATTCACTCTCTCACTCATTCACTCTAATTTCTACCATTTTCATTCCCTTTTTCTCCTACTCTCTTTCCTATTTCCTTCCTAATTTGTAATACATTACCTCATTTCCCAGCATAACTAACAAAATTTCAGGTGGCATGTCCCACATCTTCAATTCATTTAGCCACTGTTTTGCATCCTTTATCTTCTCTGGAGTGCGACCATTTACAACCAGAACGAGGTATTTTACATCACGTGGTACAGTTTCCGGGATGACACCAGGGCCTTGAGGGAAGAGTTGACATAAATAAATAGGGGACAATCAAAGAATAAATATATTCTTTTTTTCCATGAACATCAATATATAAATACTCAAATGGGTACATCCACTATTACCCAATATTATAAACATTCTAGGCAGCAGAAAGTAATATATCAAGCATACTAATTTAAATGGCATATACTGTATCTAAAGATTAACATAAAATAATAACAAGGGTGATATAAATCATAGGAAAAAGGGTACATTTTTTTACATGAATTATTTTACCTGATCTATATCTGAGTACAAATGCAGGCATTCGCAACTCCCCAACAGTAGCACCAGGCATTGTTTCATCTAAACTTTCTTCACCTTCCAGGATATGCTGCCATAAGTAGGATCCTATTGCAGCTTTCCCCCACACTTCTACCACAGGAATATCTACAGAGGCAAGCTGTACAAAGGGGACAGGGAAAGCAAGAATACAGTATTTACAGATTTGATAGGGAAGATCTGTCTTCCACTTTGGCCCTTTCTGTAAGCTATATGTTTCTCCATACAAAAAAAAGGTATTTGAACCTCTATCATGTTCCATAAATCAAACCATAATTTCTAGGATCCAAGGAGAAATTCTTTATAAAAAGGGGTAAATATCTTTTGATAGCCTTAACCTCTTTCTGTGATTACTTCAAACTACTCAAAAGCATTTCAGCTCAAAATTCTTTCATAGCTGCATACAGATTAAAAAGGCCTTCTAAGATTGAAATATACTGCATGGTAGGCAATTCTATGAAAAAAAAATCACAAGGACACAAAATAATACAGAGCATTCAGGTAATCATGCATGGAAAGAAATGAAGGTACAAAAACACATCACTTACAACTAGAAATATCATGAGCAATACAATCAATAGCTGCATACCTGTTAAAGATTCTTTCCTTTTTCAAATCAAAATAAGTTTTTTTGAGGAAAAAAAATGACAGCAGTATTCCCTACCAAGATATTTTTAGGCCAAGGTAAAGGGTTGATGATGTGGTGGATTAACCACTGAGTAACTCTCAAAAAGCTCTGCATTACTAAGTGATTTATACATCAATCTTACCAAACACAGCATGAAGCATAGTAGACATTTACTATTATAAATATGATTGTCTCAGGCCTGATAATTTAGTCAGTTCTATATCAAGAAAAGTCATATGTTTTCCATATGCATATCTAAATATTTCCCATAATCTAAATCTTACCATTTTAACAAATGATGAAAAAAAAAAATCTATCCAACATACAATGCATTGAATCTTGCATTTTCACACATCTCCTGTCCTCAT